TGTACGACTGTGTGTGTGTGTGTACGACTGTGTGTGACTGTGTGTAGTTAAATGTAACAAACACTGTATGTCGTCAGGAGGAATCGATCTCGAGTCGGAGCGTTATTGGACCGCCAGTCTCACAGCACTACCCATAACATCTGACCGTATGAATTTCTGGTTCTGAGACATTTGGAACCAGGTCCTTATAGAACCGGGTCTTGATCCCCGCTCCTAGTGGGAACCCTGATCTGACCACTAGTAGTCCAACAGGAACATGTTCAGCCAGCTGTAACACACAATCCTCCTCCATCAGGATGCTCAGCAGACTCTTTATCTCTGAGGTCTGATCCAGAGAGCCTCCCTACAGGTACGTCCTCAGGTAACAACCAGGTACAGACACCTGCTGCCTTCATCACTCACCTGTCGTAACAGTTGGCGTCGTCCAACCAGCAGCCCTGTTTGACCACCTGGACCACTCCGGATACGTTCTTCCAGGTGGCAAAGCAGTGGACTCTCTTGTCTTTCTCTCCAGAACAGGTGATCACCCCGCTGACGTTCCCCCGACCCTCCGACGCCGACAGAGGGTTGTAGTTGTAGAGGACACACTTCTCCGTGTCTGAGCGGCCCAGGATCGCACCTGAGGGGACGGGAGGAGACAGGTTAACATCAACACACACCTGAGGGGACGGCTATATATATATATACATATACACATATATATATATATATATGCTGTAACTACAGATACTGTATGTACTGTATGTGCACTAACAGGTAAACTCACCTGAGGAGCACGAGATGAGGAAAACACTGAAGGCCAGTTTGGTCGCTGATCCCATTGTGGATCCAAAGTCCTGAATTTCAGTTATAATCCAGACAGAAGAAGACCCGGATCAGGGTCTCTTTAAACCCTTAGAGTCCCTGCAGCATGTCCCGGTCCAACACCGAGTCCCGTCCCGGTTTGAACGGTTATAACCACTGTTAATGAGTCCGGGTTTAACGGTAATAACCACCGGTTAACCGCGGTGTGAGAGCTGCAGATTGACCGTGAATGGGAGCTCAGGCCCCGTCAGAGAGCTGGAGGTGTCACCGCCGAACAACCGTCTAATATCAGCCGACTTTCAGCTCTCCTCATCGGGGTGAAGCGCGCCCAACAGGCCGGTCCTCTGGGAGATACACACGGTTAATGTCAACAGCAGCTGACACCGAACATTTCCATCGATTAGCTTTTGATTGATTGATTGAGTTGATCTCCGCCTGCAGTCTGCTGCTGTTCTGTATGAAACCGTCCTCCGGACACTATATATATAATAATATATATATTTCTATATAATCAGCACACAGAGAGCTGCTCCGACCCTCCGCCAGCAGCCGCAGAGTCACCGGGAGGAGCTGCCGTCCTCAACCCGCCGCCGACAGCTCGGTCACCGGGAGAACCGTCCTCGGTGTGTGTCGGTACTGATCCCGGACTGAGCGAACACAAACACCCGCAGGGGCTCCTCTCGGGCTCCTCTCGGG